CAAAGATACTTATTATACAGCCTGCATGACACATGAAAGGAAAGTAAGATTTTTTTCTTTCAAAATGACTGCTCTAAGCTTCCACATTTCTAAAAGTACTTTTAAACATTACATAAGTCAATGTGGGATTATTAATGTAATTTATGAACAATTGTATCTTGTACTATAGCACTGTTAAATAACAAGATTTTTACTATGTCCAAATTTGAACCTCAGTGAAACTAAAAATAAGGAATGCCCACACTAAATCCTTACCTAGATCTAAGATAGAATTGATGATTTTTGAATCAAGATTTCTAAACATAGACTTTTTATATATAAACAGTATATAATGCTAACATATAATGTTGGTTGACTTACCAATATATGAAGCCTTGAAAATAAACATGCCAAATCAGTACAGATAGGTTAACTTACACACCACTTTGACATTAAATATTGCAACAGAATATATTCAAAAGCTAAATATGTCTATATTCCAATAGAGAACTTTTTAAAGACATTCTTTCTGAACCACAGAGTTTAAGGTACAGGGCTTTAAAAGACCTACATAAATGAGCAATGAATCCTAGGCTATAATAAACATCAAAGTTACATACTTGTTCCAAAACTAGTCAAATTCAATAACAGTAATAGATTCATTTACAATAGGATAATTTAAAGGGAAATAAATGAGCTAATTTGGGTAGGAAACAATTGGTGGAGTGAAGATAATCAGGATCAAAATCAGAAAGCAGAAATCTTCAGCTTCCTTTATTGTGAGTAAATTTCAGAGTAAAAAGATGACTTGAAAAAGCATAAAAAGTTAAGGCATTGGCAACAATAACACAGAGAGCTAATTACTCATGTTATAGTTTTAAATTTTCATCCAAATTCCAAACACTGAAACCTGATCATCAATGTGCTAATCTTAAAAGGGGAGCCTTCAGAGTCCTCCCTGTTAGGATAAGTGCCTTTGTAAAAGAAATTTGAGGGAATGGTCCTTCCTCTTCCCTCTTTCCCCTTCCTACATATGAGGACAAAGCCGTTCTTTCTTCCAGATGCTGCATGGAAGACATGAGAAGCCCTTGGGAAAAGTGGAATATGTCAAATGCCTTCATCTTGGATGCTACATTCTCTACCACTACATACATAGTCTGTGGTCTGTTGTTAAAGCAACAGAAAGTAAGATATACACTTGACACAACTTTGAGTATTTTACATATATTAGCTCACTTTGTCCTTGCAACAGCTTTATGAAAGTAATACCAACATGTTTCCTATCACAAATGTGTTAAAACACACGTGGAGACAACAGGGAATTGCCCAGCTAGTGGGTTTCAGAGTTGGCTCTATCCAGTAATACATGTCGCAATCAGCACTCTCCATAGAACTTGGCCTGCCTGTCTTTGGAAGCCAGAACAAATTCAAATTGTAATTCAAGATATCAAAATATGGCAAATGTTCTAGTTTCTAAAGAGAAGGAAACTATGTTAAACAATGCTGAATTATTTCATTAAAAACAAGTCGTTTAAATAGGGATACAGAGGGACCCATTGCAACAATGAGAAGTACAAGTCATTATGTTGAAAAATGAACTTTACAACTTTGGTGGGGGGGATTAAGTTGGGGGGGAAGGATGGGAAGGGATGGGAAGGGGAAACAAAGGAGGAGGCTACAATGCTTGATAAGAAATGTACTCATTATCTTGCCCATGTAATTGTAACCCCTCTGTACAGTATTTTCACAATAAAAATTAAAAAAATACTTGGAAAAGAAAACGTTGACCATGTCCAGTATTGTTTCCTCACAAATGAATTATGAGTTTTTTATGGTTGCTTTAACTGAAATAGCATGAATGTACCATAATTATGTTGATTCTTGATAGCAGTAGCTCTTTATGTAGTATTAAAAATTACAGAAATTTTTAGTCTTAAGTGAAAATAATGATTTGAGTAGATTCATATATAGATAGGTTGCCTCAAAAGTGATTATAAGTTAATCAGTTAAAAACAAATGGATGTCTCTAGTAATGCATGCAAAGTTCTGTATTTGAATTAAAATTATACATCAATAATGTATAGAATGAGTAGGAATTTATGCTTATGAAGGTGGTAAAGAGTTTACTTAACTAAATTTTAAGTGACTTAAAGAACAATATTTTCAATCCCAGAGAGTGCTGTAAAAAGACAATGTAGAAAACAGAGGAGCTAATAGATTTCATGGTCTTGAAAATCAGATTAAAAAGCTTGTGTTCCATCTCAGTGACAAATAGTAAACCAGGACAACCTAGATGGTAAACATTTTGACATTTAATGATCTCTGAAGTTTATTAGAACAGGTATCGGGGTGTGTGTTACAGACTGACAGAATGAGAATAGGTTTCTTTTGAAAAACAACAATATTATGAACTAATTAATATATTATGATGATTACTCTGTTAAGATGAAACAAAAAGTGGAGAAGTATGGAAGCAAAGAAACAAAAGACATAAAGAAGCAGAACAGAAACAATAGCTACCTGAATGAGGATACTGTAAACTGGGGGATATCCCTAGCTATTCAGAAGGATCATCCAGAGGATAAAGGTTTGACACAAGCTCAGACAGAAAAATCTATGAGACTCTACCTCCAAAACAACCAGAAAACTGCTGGAAGGGCGGTGTGGCTAAAGTGGTAGAGTGCAAGATGAACAAATATGAACTAATTTTACAGGCAAAATAAATTGCCAATTAAGTAAAGCAGTGAAATACCAAATTCGGCTTCACTACATTTTAAGGTAAATACAATACTTGGTGATACTGTCAAGACAATTTGAAACACCACACAAAAGGGATTTAACCTGAGCTATAATTTATTCACAACACAATTTCAAATTTTAAAGAAACTTTACAAATAGTGTAATCGACTTTCTTTAAAGAAATCCTGTTTGTAACAGACTTCTTCAATTCTTCCCATGATGAGGCACTTCCTATTTTACACAGCATTCATCCTGCACATCAGTTTTGGTTGCTTGGCGGACCCAAATCTTAGCTACCTATCATGCTCTTCATCTAAGGAATGATAACCTCCAATATGTATGGGCTAAGTTTAACCAGCAACTAATTTGAATACCAGTCAGACTAGTGCATATCAACTGAATATCAGCCTGCTTCAAAGTATGGGTGCATTGCACTCTTAGAGTGCTGAGTTCAATGGTACATATTTCTATTTTATCTTTATTGTCATGAACAGGCCCTCTCTTTAGCTCCTGCTGTGCACTTTTGGAGGGTCTTCCATATGGTTGCTGTTAAGTATTTTGGCATTTTCCCAACTGTTACAATTGGGTCAGTGGGGGGGATGCAGTAGAAGCAATAAAAATAAGGGTGAATGCGGCAGGGAGGAGCGCAATTCCTGCACACATAACAGCTTATTGCCTCTCATGCACTCGAGCACAGCTCTATGCCATTCATTACAACGGGCTGCCAGAGCAAGATGCCTTTTTTTTTTTTGACATAGAGTTTATTCCAAGAAAGGGCAAGGCTTGGATGAAAACATTGTCTCTTCTGTTACATTTCCCCCTAATATCTCCTGACTTCACCTCATCATCATGTCAAAAAAACGCCAGAGGGACATTTTTTACCCTGTGTATTATTGACATTCTGAGAAAGTTTAGTTCAACAAGCTCTTTGCTAAACTGTACCACCACCATCAGCAGCAGCAGGAGCAACAGCAGCAGCAGCAGCAGCAGTAAGAACTCTGGTGGATTTCACGCTTTGAGATCTCATAAAGAGGAATAAGGAGAAACAAAACATGGAATGCAAGTCTGAGTCATGATCTTGAGACATGATCCCTAAATCCAAAAGTGAATGCTAATGTTAACGTTATTGCAGTGTCTACCACATCAGAAGTTATATCTGTGAAACATACGATTATTACTATGATTTAGTGCTGGGTCTGCCACATAAGTGCTCCCTACCACTAAATAAGCTACACCTCCCACCCTTCCCCTCCCCCCCCAAAATCTTTTATGATAGTTCTGTGGAAGGCAATTTAGCCAAACAATAGACTGGGAGAAATGTATTTGCAAAGGAAAATTAAGATTCTAAGTGGTGAAATGATATATGAATTGTGTATGTACAAACATGGGCATACAAGGTTGCATTTTTCCAGTCATTTTACACATCCAAGGATTTCTTAAATAATTCATTGTACTTTCCCTTTAACGTCTATTTTTTTTCCCCTTATCAAACACCAACGTACAGTTGTGTAGCATTCTAATCGGTCCGTGGCAGAGCCCTGAATCTTCCCTGAACGATCTCAAGAAATCCAGAATTCAAGCCGGAGACATTTAAACGAGCAGGTAGACAAATAAGTGTGGGGTTTTATTCACGATGCCAGCCAAGATCATTAAAGAAAAATGTGCTGCAATGAGAAACTTTCCTGTCTTTGCTGTGCTCAGCCAGCAGATCTGAACCCCAGATCCGCAGGATCCCGACCCCCACTCCCCACTCCCCCCACCCCCCGCCCCGACCCCGAGGCGCGGCGTGGGGGGGCAGCGGTGTCACCCCAGGCTGTGCGGAGAAATGGCCCAGTCACACGTCCGCGCGGTGAACGGCGCGACCCCTCAGGTCTGACACCCCCGATCTTGCATGTGTTGGCGGAGGAAGGCACCAGTGCGGCCAGCAGCCGGCCTCAATCCCCTCGACAGGGGCTCAGGTGGTTCCTGGAAGACACACACTTTTTTCCCCGGAGACCCTAGGGAGCCCTATTTCTAACTTCTCACAAAGCTCTCGCTCTCAGCAAGGCCACCTCTATGTCAGCATCAGCCCAAGCAGAGAAGCCCAGGTCTCTGCTTCGTCCCGGGCGCGGTCTAGCCCGGGTCTCCCTCCCACCACAGTGACCCCTCCCCGGAGATAGGAAGGTCGGGCAGCCGTTGACATGAGGGCAGCGCCGGTGGCTTCAGGAAGCGCAGTGCGCAGGCGCAAGCGCCGCACTGCGCAGGCGCCGCCCAGAAGTGACTTCTCCAAAAAGTGTCTTAGCTCGCAGTCACCTGAGCTCGGGGGAGGGCGGCGGCGCGGCTGCGGATAATCAGCGCCCTCCGTGGGTTTCCTGCTCGGCGACGGCGTCCCCTTCCTCCTGCGCGCCCGCGCCTCCCGCCCCAGCCTCCCAGCGGGCCTGTCCTTTCCCTCCGGTCCCGTCCCAGTCTCGGGCCGAGCCGGGCCCTCCAGGCGCGGTCCCTGACCATGGCGTCCCTCTTCAAGAAGAAAACGGTGGACGGTGAGTTCCAGGCCGACTTCCCCCCCTCCCGGGGAGTGTGCCGGGGGCTCCGGCTGCGGTTCTGACTGCGGCCCGGGGGGGGCGGGGCCGGGTGAGAGGCCCCACAGGTGACCGCCGGGCTGCGTCACTCCGCGTCCCCGGCCTCCCCGACCCGCCCCACCCCTGCCTCACCTGCACAGGTCTGGCTGCTCCCCTCTGACAACGCCACCCTCACCCTCATTCCCCACCCCCTCTTTACGACCGGGATCCGAGGCGTCCGGAGGAGGCCCTTGAGTGTCTTTGAGACTTGGAGATTGATGACTGGCTTTACTGGATTTCCTGTGTGTGGAGAGAGGCTCCACTCCCAGCCACCGCCAGAGACCTTACGACGAGAACTTGAGTATAGGCTCCTGTCCCTTTAAAAACGCTCCATCAGTACACCTGTGAAGCACGTTTCTTGATTGACTCCAGTATGAAATTATAAGAATTCCCAAAGAGGTACCTAGGGTTAGCTTTCATTATGGTTATTTTCTCCCTTATGATGGTCTTTGGCAATGTAAGGGATGTGTGTACTAGTGACATTGGAGGTTTACATTTTAAAGACCTTTGCACTGTTTCAGACTTTGAGCTCAATGTCATTTTGTGTGTGTGTGTGAGAGAGAGAGAGAGAGATAGTAAATGTACTGGCATGTATAAGTTTGGAGGTACTCATATGCAGTGCATGGACATATTTAGACATGAGTGCTGTCAGGTAATAAATTCATTCAAGTTATTATTTTTTTAAAAAAACTGTCACATTACATGTTGAGTCTAGGTTGTTGCTGGATCAATCAAAGAATCACTTCTTTGTAAGTTCCAACCCTGCTGCATAAAGAGTACTAGAGCTAGACAGTGATTGGTACAAACTACTGAGTCCTGACTTGGGGATAACTCCTTCCATCCTTTGTGTGGATTGTTCCAAGGACAGGAAAATTATTTGGGGGAAGATAACAAAGACATCATCTACCCAGCCTCTCTGTCCTTCATCTCAACACATAGTGCTATATTACCCCTGACTTACAAACAAAGCATATTTTTTGCTTCTTTACATTAATTGAAAAAAAATTGTTTTCAGCTTCTTTTGACTTTTTATTAAATGAGATGTACCATTTACAATACTTAGCATAGCTACTTAATATGTGATATGATTATGTGACATGGATTTCATATATGTTAATCATGAGAATGATGTTTAGTCAGGTTTTTTTTTCAATGCTTTCTGTACCAGTATAGTGATTTCTAGTTATTGCACCAGGGGGAAGAAAAGATTTATTTACTTATTGCTCGAGTTTTGTGTAGTGAAATTTAAACCAAGTACAGCAACAACAAATTCACTTGTATGTGGCATCTAAAAAAGTAAAATCTAAAGTGGCTGGGGATTGAGCAACTGGGGAACAGGCATAATAGGGATGAAAAGATAAATTTCAAAGGATACAAAATTCTAGATAGAGGAATGATTTTCTAAGGTCTTTCCACAAAAAAACATCTTTCTTGATTAGTTTTAGTGACTTTACTATACAATAGAAAAGCCATTCCATCTCTCTTAGTTTGATGTTACAAGTTAACTTTTAACAGTAAAACCCAAACATTCCTGATTTTAATTGTTTAATAACTGTCACCTGTTTTCAAACCTGTATCTCAGTCCTGTGCTTCCTGGTGCTTTTGGCACTCTAGTGACTATTGTAGTGTTGAGGAGAGGAAAATAAGCAATGAGTCTGGGTAATGAGGGTGAGTTTAGGCCTAATAAGACATAATGTTTTTAGTAGACTTTTTTTTTTTGGGGGGGAAGGTCCAAATGATTTTTGCTAGGGATTTTGCCACTAATTAAAGATTCACTGTGAAATTTCTGAATTGGACCAGTATACTCCTTGACAACTACCAAGCTATATTTGATGTTTCCTTAAATTACTATGTCAGTTCAAATAATTTACTCATTTCTTAATTGTAGATCTATATTTTCATCATATTAATAGAGCCTTGCTGAAGTTTTTATGCTTTGTTTTACGAAAAGGAAGGTTTTTTTCTTGTTTTGTTTTAAAAAATGACAATACTGTTCCTAGCAGTAATGAGGTTATATATCATGAAATTTAATGAAGTTTTATATGTTTCTCTTCTATCTTTGGGCACATTGATTATTGATCATAAGATCTTTTACTATGTGTTGACTTCTTTTTTAAAGGAACAAATAATGAAATTCTGATACGTAAAGAAAACATGTAGCTGCTTATGGATCTGGGGAACAAGTGAATCTTTTTGTCTCTGGATTGGCTGGAAGAATTATATACTGTATCACTAAAGACTACTACATATGTGAATTAAAAAGAAAGATGACGTTATAGTACTTATTACTATTCAGAGTTATGTTTAATTCATTTTAGACACAAATATGATCCAAGTCTCCTCAGTGTATACTTTGTTACAGAAATTAATGAGAGGTGTATCTCAATGCCATTGAAGAGAAGAATTTTTTTGCAATTTGAAATTAAAATTGAGTATGCCCTTTTCTTTTTACTGATGTGTGTGTGTGGTATATCCTGTTTATCTACAGTATTCTTTTTCTCCAGGTATGCAAATAGTGACCTATTTATAGAGGTTAATTATAAACCTGTAAATCAGCATATCATTAAGACTTGTCATAAATGGGCAGCTATCCAGACTTTCAAACACTGAAGTTCAGGGGTTGGGTATGAACTGCCTAGCATGTCTACTGGAGGCATTTGGGATTGCAGATGTGTTACCCATGCCTGGGTAAAAATGAAGACTTCAAACACTGTATAATTTTTTTTATTTGTGGCCTCAATAAAGACAAATCTTCTGGTACTGTGCAAAGAATTTTTACTGCTGTATCATTTCCAAATAAGCCTATGAGCTAAGCAGTATTATTGTCCCCATCTTAGAGATGAGGAAACGAAGGAAAGGTAGTAAGCAAGTTTCCCAAGATCACAAGGCGCAGAGCGAGGACCTCATGTTTTTAAGTGTTTTCATTCTTTTCTAATCCAGTTTAGTGTGATAATCTTTATAAGTTCATGAAACTCTCAATGCATTGTTTGACTTGTGTCTATAGATCAGACATGTTTCTCTTGAAATTAGTAGTAGAACTTTAATTTCCATAGTGGAAATTACCTCATTTTTCTGACCTTCCTGGACCCTGGTCTTTTCCATGGTCTAATTCCTTTCTGATCTTCATCTAAACCTCTTGAAGAACTAGAAATATATATTCTCCTTCTTACTACCTTGCTATCCTTTTCCCCCAGTTCTTAAGCAGTTTGCTTTCATGTCATATGATGAGATGTTGTATAATAACTGAATTCTAAATCATCATATCAAATGGCCATTTTTAATGATTGCCTCTCTGGCCTATGTTTTGAATTTGATCCTTATGGTAAAAAAAAAAAAAATTAAAAAAGGGGCTAGGAAGGTGGCTCAGTGGTAGAGCACTTGCCTTGCATGCCTGAGGCCCTGAGTTTGATTCCTCAGCACCACATAAGCAAAAAAAAAAAAAAAAGGGCTGGAAGTGGTGCTGTGGCTCAAGTGGTAGAGCACTAGCCTTGAGCTGAAGAGCTGAGGGACAGCACCCAGGCCCAGCGTTCAGGCCCCACGACCGGACCTCCCCCCCAAAAAAAATTTAAAAAAATAGATCTCCTTTCTAGCAGGGTGCCATCCTAGCTATTCAGGAGGCTGAGATCTGGGGATCCCAGTTCAAAGCCAGTACGTGCAAGAAAGTCCATGAAACTCTTATTTCTAGTTAACCACCAGAAAACCAGAAGTGGCACTGTGGCTCAAGTGGTTGGGCACTCACTTTGAGCTGAAGAGCTCAGGTACAGCGCCTAGGCCCAGAGTTCAAGCCCTACAACAACAACAAAAGAAAATTCTCTCCTGGACACTCCTTTTCAACTTTTTTTTTCTTCTCTTGTTTTTATAGACAAAGTTCGTGTTTTTTTTTGGGGGGGTGGTTCATCTTGGGATATCACTGTTTTAACTGTTATGTTATTTCCCTAAATGATCTAGTATCTCTCTTTCTTCAGTTATAATTGAAGTGCTAATATATGTCAGATATGTATCTCTACTGGTATTTTTGGTAGTGTTATATGTCCTATATATCCAGTATCTCAAATGTGAGATCCAAAACAAAACGCATTATCTTTTTAAAAATTATTTATTTTTCAGCGTTTTATTCTTCAAGTGTTGATGGTACTTGAGTTTTCCCCACTACCTTCAATTAGTTACTAAGGCAATTATTACCAAATCCTTCCTTTCTTTGTCTCTTAAATATTTGTCACATATGATATTGTATGTACTTTTAACTCTTTGCTCTAATTCAGATATTACTTCACATTGACTGCTTTATTGCCTTCTTTTCTTTTCCTGTAGCTTCAAAATGGCAAATCCTTCTTCTAGACATAATGCAGTCAGTATAATCTGAAATGAAATCTAATTCTACTGCTTGCTCCTCAATGTAAACCTCTTTATTGAGTCTCTTGTCATGCATAGTTTTCCTTTGATTGTTGCCTCTTTGTCTAGCTATGTCTGGACATTTTACTGTTCTGCAGTGATGTTCCACTATTCATCAATATACTGTGTGTCATACCTTTTCTCATCCTGACATATTTGCTTATAATGCCTTCTGACTAGAATTCACTTTTTTTTAACTTCCTCTAGCTAACCTGAACTTTATAGTACTTTTTCCTTCTCAAGGAAGTATTTGATGCCAACTAAATTGTATTAAGTATTGCTGTTATTTAGCATCTGCTTTCTAACTTGCATTAACTGGAATAACAGGAAATTCATAAGTAATTAGAAAGTTGGCTTATGCTAATTCTACTCACTTCTACATTCTGTATTGAGTTCAGAGTCCACATGAAAATTTGGTAGTTACCAATTTAGAAACTATAGCCATAAAGTAATAGCATTTACTATTCCAAAATAGTTGTTTTTCAGTATCTAGGACTTACTAAAATCTACACTGTTCAACTGATTGCCAC